TTCCCCAGTCAGTATTTTACTCACTTTAAGTTTGAATTTGAGGTCGACTACAGGATGTGCGAGAGGAATATTGAACTTCTCGTCTCACTAAGGGTCTTCGGTGTCAAAAATGGAACTCGTGCCAGCCACAGTAGTTTCAGCCACCAAAACGGTAACCCTGTAGGATTTATTCACTCTTATCTTCACTTGGTGGTTATCGGACAATACAGGAGCATTACAGCTACTGAGAAAGCGATTTACCTTAGACAACTCACCTAAGGCTCTTGCTCCAATGGTTCTCAATTTTAGATTACCATGAAGCAGAATAAACTTCTCTGCTTTCCTTTCTCTTAACAAAGAAGACTGCTTCGCTGAATTTCTACCCATGGGAGTATTAGATCAGTGCACTCTCCACCATAAGTCTTTGCAGGGAGCTATGATGGCGGACATTGTTTGGCATGGACAACGTACTGTAGATTTTCCGATGAGGTCTTGAAGTGTAAATCAGAATCAAAAACTGGCTCCTCTTTAGTTAGGTCTTTCTACTCAGCAAAACTGGCCTTCCCGTAATAACAGTGATGATGCCAGTGAAAGAGGAAGGCTTGCATTGCAGGAGGAATGGCTTATGGGTGGCAGGGACCTGAAGGCAGTTAGTTTGGAGGTAGAAAGACCTTCAAAGGGACTAAATAATGAGAACAGAGAGAAGATGAATGCGTGAAGCTGATCGTGCATCTAAGATAATGGTAGATCTGGTAAGTTCTCCCGGTAAGAAGAAAGAGGCTAAGGAAGGCACAAAGTGGGATCTGTTAATTTTGGAAGCTGAGTGTGCATCTAAGATATAGGTAGAGCTTTGGTGGTGAGGGAGGGGAGTAACAGCCGTTCTCCACTATAGGCTAAAGTTTACACGACCCGGTTCAGTTGTCGCGATTGGCTAGTAGCTGACGATGCTCATAGGGGAGTCATAGCGGTAATGTTTTGCTTAAGCTTTTGCTTTGCCCCTGATTTCAAACATCATAGACAGTTTACGATCGTGTTTGAGGAACTAATTGATGCTGGAAATTAATGACAAAGAAAAGAGATAGAACAATCATTTTGATTCTTTGATTTGGATGGCAAGTATCTCAAATAAACTAAGTCCTTACCCAACTGTTTTGGCTGATGGTACCATAGAGGTTCCAGAAGATTATTCCACATTAGGGGTTTTTGGTGAAGATGATTCTGAAAACTGGCATGTTCAGGTTGTATAATGCAAGTTTTTGGTTTAGTGATTATAAGCCGCATGTTCGATTTTGTTCCTTTTCCTTGGCAAACACAAGACCATCGTCCAGACCAATTACTACACTACAGGTTCAAACATCACCACACAAATCGTTTCATAACCCCAGATGATATTGACATATAGAACACTACAGATTTGCAATTACCTTGAAAATCTGAATTACACTCTTGGATTGGACGGACTTAAATTGAGATTGTGATGCAGGAACTGGAAGCAGGGAGCAGATACACGATCTGGGTTTTGATTGCTCTGATGGGTTTCACGAGTATGTCATCAAGTGGGGTCCAGACTTTATTGAATGGTTGATCGATGGGAAGGTGGTGAGGAGAGCAGAGAGGAAGGAAAGTGAGGATCTCCTGAGAAGCCCATGTTTTTGTATGCTTCAGTTTGGGATGCCAGCTGCATTGATGGAGGGAGGTGGACTGGAAACTACGTAGGCTGTGATGCACCCTACGTTTGCCTATACAAGGATATCCATGTGCCTTCTGCCACTGCCGTAGAGTGATCTTCTGATTAATGAGCAGAGTTATCGTCTTGGTGAGCTTAATTGTTTGTTTGGAATTTGATTCTATGAATTGTGAGTTAGTTGAATTTTTCATATTTTGCTTTGAAGTGCTTGAGAAACATCTTCTAAAATATTTTCACATATCTTTTTTTTTTTAATTAATTTTTCAGTATCTGATAATCATATTGGATTCTGATTAATCTGAAATTAAATTACGTCGAATTTCATTAGGAAAAGCTCTCTCAGGTCCTCAGGATATGTTTTTTCATTTACAAGACTTGTTTTTTCATTTACAGGATCTGTTTTTTCATTTACAAGAGTTGAATTCGAAATTTTATTTAAAAATAATCAATGTTT